CGCTGTGATTGTATGACATTTCCCCGGAGGAAAGTCTTCCATTGCTCTTTCTTTCTTTCTCTTCCTCAGCCGCGCATTATGATGATTCATGGAGCCACTCTTTTCCTCTGCACCAAAGTTTAAAGAGTGGCTTGATTTCTGGTGCCGACAGCACGCCGCGTAGGCAACTGTTGTGTCTCCTTTGTGAAACAGGTTGCCTACCCGCTATCCTGCCGGCGCACAAAGTTCGCGATCTGAGGAGGAGATGAATCAACTTTTGCACTTTTATTATTATTCTTGAAAGAAGTTTGTTTTTGCGAAAAGACTCGAGTGTGCAATGAAGAATAAAGTATTTCTTTTTGTGATAAAGAGTTAAGCAGTTGATTAGGAGATATTAAATTTTATATTAAAACTGAAAAACAAATAGTAATGTGAAATGAGAGTCTTTTTACAGAATAAATATTAACTGACTGATTTAACAGGCACGGTAAAATTTAGCTAAAAAAGACCCAATAAAAATCAATTATAGTAAGAAAAAGTTGAAATAAGTAAAATAAAATGAAAAATAATTTGGTTCAATTTTAATCAAAAATATATATAATAAATAAAAATTAACGATGCACTGATTATCAGATATAATATTTCTTAAATTAATTTTGTGTCTGCGTTATCAAATATTTGGAGATGAAGCATCTCATCCTTTCACCGAATTTCACACGTCCGGAAATGTGTGGCGGTCGAGAGCCAAGTCACTCAGTTGGTCAGCGAAGTGCGACGTGCCCGGTTGGCGGTGCGATGCCAAGAGACAAAGGCCGTGGGCGTGCAGAAACTGACGCTTTTTGACATTTATGGTCGGCCGAAGTGGTGCCAGAAAGATTTCAAATGACGCCCTCGCCTCGCAATCGGCCACAGAACGAGAATGCCACGTTCCATCAAATGAGATATCGGATGGAAGATTCTCCTTTGACCCTTTGGCAAATTTATGTCTTTGTCGTGGCAAAAAGCCAGAATGTCAGAATATGATTACAATTTGGTTTTTCATGAGTATTTAAAATGAAATGTCTTTTTTTTTTGCTGGATCTCAAACCATAAATATTTATTGTGTAATAAAAACGTAGCTCTTATAACCTTTATTAAAAATCTATTTGGTGGTTTTTGGCTTTGCGCAGAAAAGAAAAGACATTTCCAAAAGCTTTTTTTGCAATATGATATTTATAAAAATTTATAAAATCATAAGAGTATTTACTGAAATGTATAATATTGGTTTTTTAATGATCTATTCCTTCAATTCATGGATCTCAGAGTTAGGACGTTCTGATTCAAATACCTTGGGCCAAACAATAATTCAGACTTTCCCATGAAAACAGAAAAAAAACTTAAGAGCAAAAATATATATGCCTAAAAAATAAAAATTAATTAGTCTTTTACCTTTTTTATGCAAAAAAAAGTATCTGTTTAAAAGGTATTATTTTTTTTAATTCTTTCACTTTACATTAGGAAAAGTTTAAATTTTGCAATGCATTTTTATTAAAGATATTGACAAATGAAACTGTTTTAGGGCAACATTACGATCCTCTAGCGCTCGGTTGTTGAGATAAGGGTAAGGAAAGATCCGCACGTCACCGTCTTCCTCAGTTTCTGAGTGACGTACGCTCGATTTGCAAGCATCTCCAACGTGCGAAACCGTGTAGGAGATAAACGTACTTATACGCGTCTCTCAAGCCTGTGTCGACGAACACGGCAATTTCAGCTGCAAGCGCGCTTGTAAGAAATTTGCATGGAAATTAAGGGGAAAACAGGCGTCTGTGACGGCATCTCTCTCTCGTCCCTCCTTCTTCTCTCTCTCCGACGAGAGAGAAAGACACTTTTGTGACTGACTACGAAATTCAATCTGGAGGGAAATTGCCAGCGTTTGCGCCAACCGGAAATCGTTCCGCAAACTAAATTGAATACGAACAGAAATCCGGCACAAATAATAAATGCAATTAATCAGCGGTCGTTCCGGTTTTGACAATTAATTGAATCGAAAATCTGATTTGATGCGAGCGGCCGAGGAAGTTGGAATAATTTGATTTCTGTCGCATTTGCGCTCAAGTGCTTTGTTCGTCAGGGAACCAGAAATGTCTTCTACAGAAGCTACATGGAAGATGAATGTGGCAGCGAGAGATGGGAAGTGGAGAGTGCATTCATTTCATTCCACGCTGGGCAAACACAATTTGTTTGTTCTGGTGAAAGCTTTTCGGCTATGAAATTTCATTAACGTAATTGTGGGCTACAAGTGCGTGAGGAAGCGACGAAGTGAAATATTTCATATCAGCCCAGACGCAGTGATTGTTTGATGAATGAAAGCATCAGGGGCATATGAAGGAGCCATTAGTACTCATAAGCGTTTCACTATTTGATTAAAAAAAAAATAGTAAAATTTAGGTTTAGTGGAGGAATTATAACAAAGAAGAGCATACGAAGTGGTTAAATTGAAAAAAAAAAAAAAATTTATACAAAAAATCAATTTAACAGATTAAAGTGTTTAAATTGTATTGCCCAAGTTAGTATTTAAAAAAAAAAAACGAATTCAAATAAATATGAAAAGAGCAAACTCAAGATTGTCTAGAAAAATTAGGAAAAATCATAACCAGAGCTGGTTTTTGTTTTCCAATTTTGGTCCTGGAATTGATTTATGACGTCTTATAATTATTTAATTGGTTCAATTTTCAGATTACTTGCAATTTGTATTTTAATTCAAGAAAAAGTAAATTAATAAATGAAATTTAAAAACTTTTTATGAATTGAACATTGAACTTATCAACCTTTTGATAGAAGCAAGTGTTATATAAGATTTGTGAAAAAGAGCTTTTTTCAAAGAAGGGGGACCCAATTTTCTCAAATAGTAAATAATTGTGTTTTGAACATTATATAGGTATTTATTTTTAAATCCAAAGTCATTTAACTCATTTATTTGAAATTAAAAAACAAAACTGAAAGTCCCTGATGAAATTTTGGACTAATAAACACTAATTTTTAAATGCAATTTTAGACTAAAAACATGAATATCTACTAAAAATCATGCCGTGCTGCTAAAATAATGTTGCGAAAAATTGTCATAAAATAGAAAGTTATTTATTATTATTAATATTATAATTTTTTTAAATTCATCAGGATGTGTTTGAAATTTTAGATAAAGCACTTCCAATGACTAATTTTTATATTGTGCACTCATTGAAATGTTATTTCCATCTCCGTGAAACTAAATGAACATCATCTACACAACATGATTTGCATCACGCTTGCAAAATGGACCGCATCACGCGCCTGGCGAGTCAAACGCAGCAACACAGAGAGTCGGCATTGATCTCGCTCTAATGACTTGGAAACGCCGTCTGCGATTATTGAGGGAAACAGACAGACGTGTAGGCAGGGTGGTCATTGGGCCTTTCTCTGCGAACGGACATTAGGAGGAGCAGAACGATGGAACTGCCATTATACATCGGTGTTATTACGGCGGTCGTATCATCGAGACCACTGGTTCGTGCGCCGCGAAATCGTGCTCTTTTTTTCCATTCACTTTCGTGTTTGCCGGACCGACCAGTTATTTTCCATCTGCTGGAAAAAATATATTCAGAATATGTCTCATGTTGCGAAAATATAATGCTAATATGTATAAAAAAGAACTTGGCATAGACACGGGAATCACCGCCTGGCACCGCGTCAATCGCAGAGCTTTCCGATGCACGTCTGGAAATTGCGATGGAAAACAAGAGCTTTCCACCTCGTGTTATATTCACAGGGGCTGCTGACATATCAACGCATGATCGAAAAAGTGTCGGCTGATTTCATTCAAATGAGGCGGAAAGAGAATCAGGGATGACAGAAACTTCGGCAAAATTCAAAATCGTTCGAAAAATCCAGCTCTTATTAAACCTGGTGAAAGTGGGTTATTCTGCCGTTATAAAATTCTTTATTTATAGCATTTCTTTATTCATTATTTTTTCCAGATTATTTTTATCATTGAAATTAAAAAACCTTTATTACGAAATAAAGATTGTATGTTCCAATTAAAACTTTATCATAATTATACATGTGTAGCATTTAGTGAAGAGGATTGCAGAACTGTCGTAGTTTACGTAATTCTCTTTGGAGGAAATACATTCATTAAACTTCATGGACTTTTGTATGTTTTTGTAAATATTTATTTTAGTGCTATATTTTATCAAAATAAATTTTTTCTAATAGTACTTTTAAAGCTTTAACAAAATTTTATGCAAAATATTGAACAAAATGTTTATTAAATAAGTTAATTAAATTTGTTTTTAATTTTAATATGAAAAAAGCAAAAAATATATTAAAGTGTAAAATAAGATTTTTTACTAATAAAATGGTTTTTTCTTTTAAATTTGTGTTCTATTAAATATTATGTTATGTAAATTTTTCATTTCATTGTAATAAAATATTTATGTGGACAAAATAAATAACAATCTCATGATTTAATTGAGAATATTTCCAAAACTTTTAATTTTAACTAAAGGATTATTTAATTAATCTTACCATCTACTTTCCAGATTGCACAACTATGTAATCTTCAAATAGCTTCCTGGTGATAAATATTTCATTTATTTTTAATTTTGTATTGAACCAATCTCTTTAAATTCATATATGTGATGTGAAAATATGCATGAATCTTGCGGATGAAAAAAAATATGATGAACATACTGAAATGAATCGCCTTTATTTTCAATGCAAGGAACGCGAATTAATATTCCTAAGCGGCTTCTAATATGGAATGGTTACTGCTTTTCAATAGAGATTCATAAATTTTTTGATAGTTTAAAACTGCACCCATTCATTATGTACTCGGATGATGTTCGATAAAAGAATGAATAATAATAAACCTATTTTTGCGTTTAAGAAGACGATCCCTGCCTTTCATTTAGATTTTCGTTGAAATCAAAATGAAGCAAATATTTGCACGCTCTACGCTTTGATCTTTTTCTTCGGGCGGAAAATGTCAATTGCAGCAAACTCACCTCGTTTTCTGCTGCGCACGGTGACTTTCCTCGGGGCCTTGCTCTGCTGGGCAGGTGCGGCGACGGTGTAGCGGAGGACGAACTTGACTTCGTCCCTGTGGCAACCCCATTCCTGCAAAATCTCCAGGGGTCTGTCATCCTCACGCAGCGTTCGCTCTGCAACATTTACTTTCGTCATTACAACCTGACAGGTAAACAAACGTGCCAATAAATGAGCCGGATGTTTTTTTACACACGTAAGAGCAGAAAAATATACCGAGAATGTGTCTCTCAGCAGGGTGTATATCCGGCCCCTTTGAGGAATATCCGAAGCGACTTTGGGCGGAATTATTGATGCGAAATATTTCGCTGACGACGACGGCATTTGCACTTGAAAGGGAGGCTGGTAAAAAGCGAATATAAAAATATGTCTGATATTATGTATTTTTATATCCAGCGTGACTCGGAAAAAGAGTTTGCTTCCCTAGCCTTGTTTTCGCCGCTTTATCGACTTTTTGTTTCGATTTTTCAGGTGATTTGTCAAAGGAGTCATGACTGCTGAAAACTTTGCATAAACAAGTTAGTTCTTTGGAAGTATAACTTTCGGTGCAATATTTTAACGCGACACCGTCTGATCACTATAAAGTAAAAAATAAGTTCAAAGTAAACTTCAGTTTACTTTTTTAAATGATTAAATAGAATAATAATAAGTTAGCAATATATTTTATATACCAATATAAAATAGCAGATATTTTTTGAGATTGGTGAAAAATGTCTCTTTGGCTTAAATTTAACTTAAATAAACTACAATTAAAGTCTATTGGGTGAAGTCATTTATTATTATTCTATTGTACAAAGAAAAAATATATGCTTGAAGTTACTAACGCAATTTGTAATTAATTTTCTCAAAGAATACTGAAATAAATTAAATATTTCCAAGAACAAATTTGCAAAAAAAGTCCTTAAAATGCCCAAAAATTGTCAAGAACTCTATATTAAATCTCATGTAAACCTCTAATATACCTGAAAAATAAAATAAATCTTTTTTTTTGTGGTAGAATTTCACGATCGAGGGTTGATTCATTGTTTTTCTGAAACAATAAACAACTCACAAAAACCCATCGAGGAAAAGCCGATTTTAAATTCAAATCACCATAAATAAATCTTTGACGTAAACTAATTTTCTGTGTGGGAAAATACAAATTAATGTTGATTCTAATATGACTGATTTTCAATTGCAGCATTTTAAAATTTAAAATGCACATTCTCTCTATTGTCATGATTTAATCTATATTTAAAACAATTAGCTGAAAATTCTTTCTCTTCATTGAATTGGAAATGTGATTTGTTAGTCCTGACTCATTTTTTTATCTTCTGCTACTAATTTAAGCCAGATTTTGGCATTTGTGCGTGATCAATACATCCCCCGAAACTGGCACACCTTTCCCTTCCGTCATTTTACTCTCTGCCTATATGCATTATTCAGCTGAGCCACGGCGAGCATAAAACGCCCATTATACTGCTCAGTCAGCTCGAAATGCTCGGCTTGCCGATAAAAGGCTGTACGGATTCAGCAGGACTGCGAAAGAGATCGACTTGGCAGATCTGATGATGATAATAGCCCTAAATGGAGACCGTTTGCCACTTCATTCGACCGTTCCCGATGCAATCCGTGCACCCCGCCGTACATAATATAATGTTTGCCTTAATCGATACTCCAGCGTGACCCTCTTGAGCAATACTACTGACTCTTCTCTTTGCATATAAAATATAAAAAAGATGTTATATTAAGAATATAGTTTATAATTAGTCTAATAAGTGAATTACGGGTTGAATATAAATTTTAAAAAAATAGCATTGCTACATAAAATAATCAATAGAACGACTCTAAAAATAAAATCTACCATATCTAGTGATATTATTTTAATAAAAAAATGTAAAATCTTGTTTTTTCATAGAATTTTATTCAAAGCATTTCAAATTTCATATGATTGCAAAAAGGGAATTTAAAAATTTTTTATCGTTTATTAGGTTTGATAGAACTTTTTTTTCAGTGTGAAAAGTTTTTCGCTCAGGTCTTGTCAGCGGATGGAAAATTAAATTTCCTCTCAACAATGGTTGTTGAGAAAGAGAAAAACTTGATTGGCCCGTTGAGCTGTTTTGTATTTTACTGAGAGAGTTTTGAAGAAACACACTTTGCTTTACGCACTCAGAAGTACAAATCGCACGTCGACTGTTAAATTTGAGAGCCGTGCCATTACTTCCATCAATTTTGGCAAGAGTAATTGCCGCCCGCCGCGTCACTGCCGCCGCCGCCACTCACTGCAGGGACGCGTTATTTTTTTTAAACAATCGCTGTCGTTTTCAGCAGCGCCGCCCAACCCGCCTTTCCATTAATGGCTTCAACAATAATAAACTCCTCTCGGCAAGCAGAATGAAATGGAAAAATAAAATAAGAGAAACAAGCAACATGCAAAAGTGCTTCAAGTGCGTTGGTTATTGTTGTTGAATTTATTGTTAAAGTGTCTCATCAGCTAAAAATCAGATAGAGTGATTTCGATGAAAATTTATTTCTGCTTTAATTATCGTCTAATTTTGTTAAATATTTTAATTGAGACAGTGTAAGATTGTTTTGAGTTTTGATTAATCACGGTCTTAAACTCAATTACTGAACCAAAACAAACTTTTTTAAATAAGAATTTCCAAAATTAATTTCATTTCTCAAAATATTATTGGAACTTTTATCAAATAAATTTATTCATTCAAAATATTCATGGGAAATACAAAATTCCATAGAAAAAGTTTTTGCAGTGTTCAGGATGTGTTTTATAAATTTGATTTTTACTCACTTAGGATCATATTGTTGGAGCAGTGATTTCCCACCGGCGGCGAACACCCGATTATTTCGAGCGGGCTGCAAAATCGACTCTGAATGAGGGGGAGTGGACGCGTGGCGCGCGGTTTTAATATTAATAAAATGCACCCCTACCACCCCGTGTTGTGTGTTGCCGTGTTATTTGGGCGCATTACTTAAGTCGGAGAGAAACCGGCGCTCGTGTACACATTTATACATATGTAGGACGAATCGATCCCACCATTATGTCACGCGAGAGTGAATAACAGAGACTGCATCAGCGCCGCCGACCTGGCTGCCTGCGGCTCGCGGGGGAAAAAAACAGCACGCCAAGTTATAAATATCGACTCTTGCTAGCAACATAAAAAAATTAATTAATTCTTTGTCAAACCAATTGCAATAATTAGTTCAATTTAATAATTTATAATATATTGAATATTATTAAACATTATTATTTAAGTTTTTACCAAACAATTTTTATCTTTTCTACAGTTTTACAATGAATATATTTTTTTTTTTAAATAATAAAATTACTGTAATTTTACTACTTTTTACGTTAAGTGAGTCTTTAAAAATATTTTAAAAATGCAAAGATTTTAATTCTAAAAAACAATATAAATGGAAAATATAGATATTATATAAAAATCACTATTGCCTCTGAAATTTGAAACTTAAACAGCTAACCGACGAATCAGTTTAAGGTACGTCATTTTAAAAATTTTCATCGCGAAAAGCAAATTTAATATTAAATAATATATCATTCCTATAAAATCTGCATGCACCTTTTACTTGATGATGGGCACAGCAGTAAAAAAATGTCAAATTAAAAAGCTTAAATGGTCCACTATTTTAGTTCATAAAATGATATGACATGTTGTCTATTTCTATTTTTCTAAAGAGATACAAATCACCAGTTGTAGAAAGTGGCAAGTACTGATATAAATTAGCTGGTCACGCTTTTGAAACAGTCAGAAGAAAAATTTTCATTTTGGATTGAAATAATTATATCAATTTTCAAATATCACATCTATAATTTCAGATCAGATTCCTTTCCTCGCTGCTTTTAAATTGATTAAAGTCAAATTTTCTTAGCCTATATTGCGTTAAATATTCGGTTATTTTCAATTTAATAGAGATTTGCAGCACTTTTTTCACTGCTAAAATTTCAAAACGCGATCAAACAAGAAAAGATTCGATATTCGACAATTTTTGGAAAAAAGGAGTAATGTATTTTAATAAAAATGATGCTGTTTGGAAAAATTTTTTGTGAACAAAAACTTAGTTAAACGAGGCTCACTACTGCGGATGGGGTCTTTTTGATCTCGGAAGTATTAGCATAATTCTTGCTAGAGGTGGTGCCATTTTGTCCACCAATTCCTTTTTTTATATAAATTGTTTTCAAAAAATTTGAATGAAAAATTTGAATATCTTCTTCATCAAAATGCACTTTCTATTACCTAAAGGAAACAATCTGAAATGACCCTGTAATATATCCATTAAAAACATGCAATTTCGGTTAAGACCAAAACTTCTTTTCATAAAGTTTCTATATTAAGTCAAATAAAATTTTGCTTAAGCTCAGCCCATCTGGTTTCGTCCAAATACTGCTCTTTAAAAGCTTTTCTGGAGAGCTGCGGATGACGCCATTTAAAAGTTTTTTTGCGGTCGCAACAGTTACGAAACAAACAAATTATCCCAGAGGACACGAGAGCCGAGTCTTGTCTTCTGCAGTCTTTGCTGGCGCGCGCGTTTTCACAGAGAGCAAACTTTCGACGACGCAAGCCAAACTTTGCAACTTTATATTCTCTTCCTTCCTCTTCAATTGCTCCTTCCGCGTTGTTTGAGCAGTTCGCGCGCAGCAATAATTATATCTCGAACGAATAATGCGCACAAACTGACAACAAGCATTTATTATTTATACAGTCGGAAGAGGAAGAACTAGTTAGGGATGCGGGGCCGCGCAAACAATGGCTCTGAAACAAATTTGTGTGTCTGATCTTTTGTCTCTCCTAATGCAAGACTGCGCCGAGGAGATAATTAGTTTTTAAGACTCCGCACGAGCAGAGAAAAATTATCATACTTTCAATGCTGTATAACAAATTAAGAATATACTTATGCAATGTAATATTTGCCATGAAAGTGGGATTTTGCAACTTCAGTGTCCTGAAATTGAAAACCAAAATTGAAAAATAAACTACAAAAAGAATGATTGTCTATTAAATCAGCCTGAAAAGTCGATATAAATTAATTTAATTTGTTAATGGTAGGAACATATTATGGAAAATTTTATAATTTTTTACTTTTGATGTAATATAGAGCGGCATTTATTTCATTTTCTGGAAATTACCAATAAATAAAAATGGGAGTCAATGTTATACGAAGATCCTACCAACCACTTAGTTTTTCAATTCTATATTTTTATTTATTAGATCCAATTGAAAAGAAAAAATTTCTTGGAAACATAGACATAAATACATTTGAAATTGACTAAGAAAGTATCTATATGATGCGAAAAAATATATTTATAAACTCAAATAAAAAAAGAAAATGTAATTATAAAATAGTATTGAAATTTTATTTTCGATCTTAAAATCACATTTCCTTTTTTGGTTGTTTTGCTAGCAGGTACTTTCATAACTGCATTTACAAAAATTCATTACAACTATTGTAAAAAATTATTATAATGTAAAATTATTATAATTAGAATCAAACTACTCCGTTGAAATGCGATTCAATCCACATCCTTCGGCGCGCTGTTGACGGCAGAGGAAAACAGCCGCGAGCAGCTGAGAGTGAGACTACGTGCAACGAGAACCCTTGGGCTAATCCCACAAAGGGTTCTCCACATGTCTCTCTGGACATGCCCCGGTCATCAAATTGCATGTGGGCAAACCACACCTGCGGCCGAACTCGCCTCTACCGCTTACGCAGCCTATTTTGCCTAGCAGAGCGTGAAAACCTGCCCTTTAGGCGGCTCGAAATCTCTCCATCTCGGTATTAACGCCATTTATGGTTTTATTGTCAGCTCGAAATACACTTTAAAATGAATTATTTTTTATAGTAATTAACCAGTTGCGGGAGAGCGCAGTTAGCTCTGAACTAGCGGTTCTGGAATATTCGCACGAGAAATTCGCAACCGATGCGGTTTTGTGAAATGTCACAATATTATATTCCCACTTGGTATGTAGCAGTTTTAGGTTTCGCCCGTAGTGTATCAAGTGCTTATTTATTCGATCTTGTTTCAAAAACATGGTTTGCTAGGAATTCGCAATTGCTCGCTGGTTGCAAATAAAGCAACAGCTCACTGCTTTTCAAAGAACTGAAGTAATTTGAATATTATTAATTTTCACGATTCATTGTAATTTAGGAGAAAGTGGAAGGAACAAATGTTATTAAATTGTGTAAGTATATCTTGATTTTTCAATTATTTCTCTGCAAATTTTTAAATAGAATTATTTTGTAAGAATTACTAACACGTAACAAAAATTTCTAATTACTTAAATGATCTTTTGGTACCAAAACGGTGAAAGTAGAATTTACAAAACGTTTTTATAAAATTAGTTTATATTTTAATTGTATCGAATACAATTAATCCAATTATGTACCATTAACATATTTGTTTACTTATTTTTTTTATTTCATTAATACCATCATTATTTATAAGCAATATTTGAGCGTTTACTTATTTTGCTAGTATGTCTTCAATTTTTTCATGTGCTGAATGATATTTGATACTCATATATAATTAACAATAATTGACATTCTCTTTTCCACTCTTTTCTTTTAATTGACCAAAGCTGGCAAGCCAAGTGTTAAACTTAAATTTATTACTCTTTAAAGAGATCATTGGCACCATTATCCTCCTATAGTATTTCCAGTTTTCGTAGGGATTAATTTTATCCCACTATACCAGGATTAATATTTTTAGATAAATTTTTTTCCAATTTATTCGGGATAAATTTTTCTTGACCTGAGTAATGGGACAAACAATGAACCCAAGAAAACAAATTTTTTTTTTTCAATTTTTCGTGCACGCGATCTTACTGTGAGTGAGATCTCAGCGTGATTGATTTGTTATATTATCAAATTTAATTAATCTCCCGAATGCGATCAACTCATAGAAGAGCCAAGAAACATAATTAATTTGAAAATTAGTTTGCTCTCAGTTTTGTCTCGAGAAACTCTTGCAAAGTTGGATCACAGTTATAATTATATAGAATATTCCGCATGTTGGAAAAGTGGTGGCGAGCTGCGTAGTTAACCCCCTGGGGAGGACGGAGAGGCGAAGGAGTTTAAACTATTTGTGACAGCGGTCGGACACATTGCAATGACAACTCGTGCATAATTACTCAAGCACAGGTGCGCCGACCGTGTAAAAGTCACCCTAGCTTGCAGAGTGACCCTTGTGGCAGGCGCAAATTAATGACGCGACGGCAACGAGACGACTTTTGACCGTGTGTGTGTATCGAACGTGCGCACCATTAAAGCGATCTGTCGCTCTCTCGCACAGATAGAGAAACACACCGTTGAAATATTGATCTTGTCACCTTGAAGTTGCTACTACTTGTAATAAATTGTAATCGTGTACATGTCACTAGAGAAAGATCTTGTTTTGCCGTTCATTAATGCTAATTGCTGGAAAGTTGCTATTAAATAAAATTTTAAATTCTATGCAGAGGTCACGATTTTTTTGTTGATTTCTCAAAAAGGGATGTAAGAAGAATTAAAAAAAATCACCTTCAAAATTGGCTTTGTCATTTTAAAGGTCACAATTTGTGAACTTATATTAGTACCCAGTGCGATGGACAAACAAATTTACAAACTCACTAAATCTTTTTTCTTTTAATATTTATAAAATTATATTAAATTGACGGAACTCACCACAATCGCGCCACAGCTCGACCATGCAGCAGTCTTCATCTCCAGGGTCTCTGGTGCACTCGACCAGGTCACGGCATGTGGTTTCAGGGGTCACGGGCACGTCCGTGGCAGCGCCACCCTCGCCAAACACCCTGATGATCACCTTAAAAAGAAATAATAAAAATTTTTGAGCTCTATCTGCAATTATGGGTGGTAAGAATTTTTATTGAGAGAAAAACGTGACAAAAGAAGTTTTGGCCACTTTATTTGCTAACAAAATCAATTAGAATAAGTTTATACTTTCAATTTAATTTACTTTATATTTTAATGTTTTTTAAAAAAAATGTTTTTTAAATATGTTTTTATTTAATTTAATAATTATAAAACTATTATATTTTTTACAATTAAGATACAGATAGATAGTTCAACGTTCCAAAATAAAATTAGATTTGAAACGAAATTTCAATTTAATAAAAATTTATGCATTATGATAAGTGATAAGTTAACACTTTTGATATTATCTAAATAATCTTAATTTTCCGTATAGTCAGATTTAATAAATTATTCTTTATTACCTAATACAATAATAAATACTCATGTAGAATTCTTAAATTCCAATTCAAATTTTCAACTTCAAAACTCAATTAAATTTATAGAATGAATTATATAAATTTCTGTTCAAATAAAAGTTGATTTATTGTCAAATTCAACAATATAGCACCAGTCCTACTCTCCAAGAACCGTGCATAGAAAATATTAAAAAATTTGCAAACAGTGAGGGGAAAAAATTCAAAGACCCATAATTGCTGTATTTTTATTAAGTTTTAAGCTTCTTTAGAATCAAAATGAAATTACAATAATTTCATTTTCCAATTTGATAACTTTGTAAGTAAGGAAGTCTTATTCAAGAACTTCTTGGTCTCATTCTTCCCGGGAGTAGTGGCTGCTTCCATCTTTGGTCAACATTGTTAACTACGTTCTCCAAACCAAAGCTCCATTCACTCTCACACAAAAGCCATACTCGGCGAACAAATTGACCTCTAACAGTATGACGACAGTGTCTATATGACATTTTGCAGCCGAATAAAACCAGATAAAAATAAAACAAAGGCAGTAAATTTATAGTATTGATCTGATGTGCGAGTGATTGCCCTCTCAACGCAGCTAGTAGTGCAGCACAATTGAAAACAAAAACTGGTTTGCGCGTCCACTCCCCATGAATGGAGAGTCGCGCGACGGGAAAAAAGTCGAATGAAGACTCGTTGTTTCTCCGCAGAAAGAATGATAGAATTTTATTCCGCAATGCAGCTGCAAATCCAGGAAACGCGCGATCTCGCCGCCTCTCCGCGCGCGGCAGACAAAAGGATTTCTCTGCGAGCTGCAACTTTGTGGTACCTCGGCAGCTCGTTCTTGATTTGAACTTTCCTTTTGTGAAATAATGAAACCGCAACAAAGCGATGCTCAATCGTGAGCGCAAAAAACGAGCACGTCCGACGCGGCTTTTCTGTCACTCATTTGCAGGCGACGAACGAACCGATGGACCGACGGATGTGTTGTGAAGGATTTACAAGTAACAATACTTTATTGCGAGAAAATTTATTTGTAAATTTATTGATGAAATAAAATCCGGCTTCTTCGGTGAAGATTTTATTGTTTCTGGAAGTGTCTGGAAGTAAAAATTTCACCCCTCCTTGCTCTAAACAATGAATCAAACCATTCCAATTTTAAATCCCCAAAATTAGTATCATTTCGTCTCCCGACGAAAAAGAGGTAAGAACTTTTCCGACACTTCTCAATTTTTGTTAGTTTTTTTTTTAATTTGCTTGGAAAATATTATTCTTAACAAATTCCAATATTCTGTACTAGAAAATTGAGAAGAAAATTATTGTATTTTGCGTTAACATTTTTATAAATTGAATTTATTTATTTTTTATTTATTCTTCTTTTTTGATATAAAAAATTAATTTGCAGGCTATTTTTTTCAAAATTTAGATAAAAATTGTTTGAATGTCAGCTCAACAGCTCATGAATTAGGGTTGTAACCCGCAATCGAAACTAGTAGAGCGGGGATTTTATATTCTTTAAACAAATTATTACTGTCATATGTGCTCAAATTGTTACATCATATTTTTTTTTTTAATTCAATTGTTAAAAAAAAGAAATAATAATAAAAAAAAAGTTGTAAAAACAGCACCACCACTGGCAAGAGTTTTGCTAAAACTTGTGAGATCAAAAAGACCTCATTCGCCTCTGTAGACTTGTTTTATTTAATTAAATTCATTTTACTACTAAAATCAATTAACATTGTCTGATATTGCAACATAGGGCATAAAATTAAGCGGCTTGTATGAATGGGCAAATTTTTTTGATTATAAACCAAAATCCTACAAGTTTGAATATGTTATGCAGAATAGACTCTAAATTATAAATGATATTTTTAATTTCAAGAGTTTTATGTTTATGGATGATGAATTTAAACAAGTCAGATCGTCAAAATTGTCATGTAGCCGCCTGGAAATATTTTAATCTTTCTTTCTAATTCTATGATATTGTAATATTGCAGCGGCAGTGCTGCAATATTGTAACAGATCTGAAAAATGTGTTGAATTTCACTGTCGGAATGATAGGCAGATATTCCGAAGGCATTATTTAATAGATATTAAAGAACTCAAAATGTTCAAATAGCTCCAGGTTATTTGCCAAATCTCCGCACGTACAGCGCAATATGCACACACAGAGAGCAAGAAACACCACCTGCTAAAATTTCACGACCAGAGTGGCGCGCCAAGGTCGTTTTAAATGCAAATTTAATACAGATATGCGCGCAAAAATAGAGTCATTTTTCATCAGCACTTTATTTCGGAGAGCTGTCAGTTGAAAAAAAAATATAATTCATCTCACGATTAAAACAAATTGGCCATTCAGTAACAAATAAAAATTATTTCCCAAAGGAAATTGAACATTATTCAAACGCATATCCTGCAATGGAAATTGCACTTCTTTTTGATCCACCGCTCCTGGGAGTGCAAAAAAAGTCGAAGAATAAGAAGCATCCTCCGATTCAATGGAACATAATAATGCATAGTAATTCCCTTTAACCTCCTTCCCAAGGCTACTACAATACACACACACACACGCGAGAGCCATCAAATTAATTCATAATCATCGTGATGAGAACGTAACGACCGCGGCCAACCAACGCACACACATAATAATAATAACAATAATAACGAGACGTCTCTCTGCTGGTGTGCCGCCTAATCATATTCAATTACTGAGGTCATTATCGTGTGGTTTATACGTATACGACGGATTGCGAATTCAAATGCAAAAGTTCGGCAATTAAGTCGCATAATGACGCGTGAAGAATGATTTTTTTCCTAGTATAAGCCACCATGGGCGCAGTTTGGATTACGAAAAACGCAAGCAATTTTGGTCGTAATTATGTTTAAACTGACTAGATGATGTCAACTGTTTTAATTCGGCTGGGAAATCTCAATTTTGGCACTCCTGTGAGAAAAAAAAAATTGACAAGAGAGTATTTTTTTCGCTCGCAAAATTTATGATTCTTGTTACGACAGCTGTAATTAAACAATAAAATGAAGAAAAGTTACAATGCTTTTAAAGTTGTTAATTGAGAGTTGTGCACTTTTTTTTTTATAATTTTGTTGTATAGTAGTTATTTTTTTTTTTTTCTAATACAAGAGAAATTTTAGATAAAATTTATAAACTGACATGGTAGGTGTTGAACGTGTGCCACTCTAATTTTGATGAAAGTGTGATTAATTTCTAACGATTCCCTATCAAAATTATTTTTTCAAGCTAATTGAAACGAATTTGAAATGGTTCATCTTGCTATCAATTTAATGCTTTCTTCGAAATATAGAAAGAATTTAAATCTGTCACTCTTCCCTAGTTTTTCTTCATAAGGCACACAAATTAAATAATTCTCCTTCGTTTACTTTTTCGTCCAACAAAGTTAAGAAATCTGTTGGCGCTAATGATGATAAAGAGGCGTGTGTACACATTCAACGCTATCAAGATAACCAGCCGGCGCGGTAAACACGGTCTTCTCGATCCTTTCTCGGCACTGCACATACCCAAATAACAAGTTGGACGTATTCATTTGATGCGAGCAATCACTCGGTTTGTCCGTTCCATCATTTTAATCATTTCAATAAATAAAAAGCACAATATGCTGCAATGTTAGAAAGGCATTATAAAATATAATTTTTTTTTTTTAGAATAATTAAATAATTTACAAAACTTTTAAAACATGAAAATTTGAATTTTATATTTTTAATAAAATTTATTTATTAATTTTTTTAACATAAAAAAATTATTTTTATCAATTTTACATTATTTTAAATATTATCATTATAAAAAAATTACATTAGCATATTACCTTATTATTTAATATAATATTTCCAACATAATCAATTATTATATTGTAATTGTGTAGATGTGCAATAAGGAATTCACCTTGTTATTTGTAAAAAGCCTTTTTCATTAGCACAGAAATTTCGTTCTCTTTGACTACATAATTATATGCCGACTGCCTTTCAAATCTCAAATCAATTTCAGGATTGAAGAAATTTTTCATTTTAAGGTCTACAAAGGAATGTCAATATGAAACACAATTTAATTACAAAATAGCTCAAATTATAAATGGTAGCAATTTGATTATTACTAAAGATTAGCAATGCTGCGAGAAAAATGTGGTTTGAAATTGTCATTTGTCAAATAAGCACAAAATAATTAATTTTGAATTATTTTGTGTTTTGCAAAAAATATCGGAAATTATGATATTATAATTTGTTCCTTGTTTGGCCTCGAAATGCATTTGAAATTTTATACTTTGCAATAATTTGAAATTTTTAAAATATTTCTCCTAACAAATTTTACTACAAAAATTTAATAAAAATGGTTGTGCGCAGCTAAATCATTTGAAAATTATTCCTGCCTTTTTTCCAATTATTGTAAATTGGATTCAGTTGAATCATGATAGACCTAAAATACTTTTAATCGCAGCTCTTTATACAAATATCTGCACACAATTTTTTGATAATTATCAACATATTTTCCAATCTTTTATGAAAAAGGAGTTAAGAATATGATGTAATAATTTCTTCAATAGAACCCAACAAAACAAAGAAAATTCATGAGAATGTTTTCAACTTAAAAAGAAAGAGCAATAAATTCGACTGACGGAAAAACGGAATCAAATATTAATTATGTGTCAAACATTTATTTAACTTTAAAAAATTGAATTGATTTCGCAAATGAAATTCAACTCCTTCTCTAACAAAAAATTCCTAGCATTTATGGCCACATCCATTCTCAACCTTAATTTTTAATGCCTCTTTTGGCATTCCTAGAGAACCAGTGTGCGCAGTTTCGGCTCTCACGTGTTTTGTGTTTACTCTCTTCCTTAGTGGGGCCTTCATGTGGGAGGACGAGAAGGAAAAAAAGATCGCGCATTCACTTACCGGAATGATCGCGGGCTGCATTTTTGGATGTTAATCGCACGCGGCCTTGTGGCTGTTCCCGGCGCGATCAATGGAGATGAAAGCCCGCATCTGGTCGTGTCGTCGGAATTCAATTTCTCTCTCTTTCTCGTCGCGGGCTCCAGTCGAAATCTGCAACATCAACACGCGTTTTGTTATTCGCAGTCAATCACAATCAGCGAGCACCATTCGCCAATTATGCAGCGCGGAAAGCGCACAATGGGACACAAATTCAGCACAACTCACAATAAAAGAGCTTTGATAATGGCCATCAAGGTGAAAAGATCGAGCCGCGCGAAACCTGTTTCGCCAATGCGCGCTTTATTTTCGCCGCCGCGGCATTTGAATCATCGCCCTGGACTCTGATTCGAACGCCTAGGAATGTGACTTTTCATCTATTTCCTTGTAAGCCCAATGACTATTAAATAAAAAATATTCTACTCGTATAGGAAATTAAAACGTGTAAATAATAAAATTTAATGATAATAAATCAACAAACAAAATTGGAAAAAAATAAGGGAAAGAACACGATAAAATGATAATACCCTGAATGCAACAGTCTTAAAATTTAACAATATAAATTTATAATATTTGGTCGTGAAGATTTCATGGATTTAATTTATTTGAATTAGAATCGTTTTGTTTTACTTTTTATATTGCGTTGCATGAATGAAATGCTTAAATACTTTTTAAATATTAAATAGTGACCAGAGATATGCCATTAAAATTATTTGCAAATATTATTTAAATTATAAAATATATCAATAAATTATTATAATCATAAAATAAATAAATAAGAACATAAAGAGAACCATATAAATTAGTTTATTAAAAAAGGCCAGAATCTAGAAACTTCCTTTAGCACACTTGTCAGCCAAACAAACGAATACCAGACTACGCCCTTTTATGTAATGCTCAAAGACATGCAAATTAGTGAATTTATTTAATTTTATATATCTTAGGGAGTTCTTTTATAATTATTATTATTTATTATTTACCTCTTGTAAAAATATAATATTGTATACATTTATCAACATACGAATTTTAATTCCGAAATTCTCTCAGTAATACATGCGAGTCAGTTAATCCCCAGCATATTTTCCTGTGTAAAATATGAAATATGTGGAGATTAAAAACGAGAACAACTAATAATTATCCCCGATAATAATCAGCCATCGTAATCCCCTAACGTGCCTTGTAAGAGGATTTCCATTCAGGCCACTTTGCCCAAATTAAAGCCTAGCATTTTTCTATCTAATGCCAACAATGGACCTGATTAGAGCCTCTTATTTTGTACAAAAGGAGCGGCTCTCTCATTTATTTTTACTTCTCCTATCCATTATGCTGGGAATTAATTAGTTGGTTCCGGACTATTCGAATCAAGGTTCGTGCGCAGTGGAGGTGGATTTGTTCGTATTTTCACACAGCTGGAGACAAAACCTTGATCAAGGCTGATGCCCATATCGCATTTCTTTCACCGACCGGTGCTCACATTCTGAAGGTGCACGGATCTCTCGTTCCTCTCTGCGAGAGAGCAACAGTATAATTTGTTCTTTTGCTGTGAAATTAAAAAAAAAAAAAAATTCGTAACGCATGAGCAAAGAATTAAAGGTTAAAAGAGACGTTTCAATTAACGCATCAGCTGGAACCTTGGCTTTAGACTTTGAACAAGTAATAATGATACTTTCAATGTGAGAATGCATATAAATAATGAAATTACGATTTCAATTGCCAATTCTCTCTTTTTAAACATTTTATTTTTAGTCAGCCATTTGATTTATTTCAATACGCTCTTTGCAATTCAATGTGAAATAGGATTTGAATTCAATTACAGCAATTGAAATGGAAATTTGTTGCATTGTAAATATCCCAGTTTTTAATTTTTCAGGCAAAATTTCCAAACTTCTTTCAGTATAATTTGTTTATTTTTGTACAATATTTTTAGAAACTCCAAGCAAATTATATTTATACGAATTTAAAATAGTGAATTAAAGTTTCTTTAAAAGTCGGTGCTCTTTAAATAATGGAAACTAATCGCAGCTCTTTAAAAGATTAAAAGGCCTGTCTCAATGGAAAACTATTCTCATTTTCTCTGCTCGAAGGCTGAATGCAATCATTTGTAAAGGAAGTGCATTTCATCTTCCGTTGCAGATTTTCTCGCGATTGTCCGCATTTCCTCCGCAGACACCATTGTCAGCAACTCAATTACCATTTCAATAAATATCCGACAAAGAAATCGAGTGTAAAAAGGGAAAATAATTATTGGCCGTACATGCGAGATTTGTTTGCTTTTTGCACGCTCCTTCAGGCGCACAATGCATCAACGATTATAGCATGACTCCATTGTTGTCGGCGAATTTCTTTATAATGTTGGCAGCGGCGGAATTCTCTCTCACACCTCTCCAGACAAATGATACGTCAAAAATGAAAAAAATGAACTTTCCGAGAAAATAATTTTTGCCGCCGCAGTGCTGATGACTTATTCTCGAGAGCGAAATTCCTCGACTGATATAATTTGCGGAATCAGCAATTTTCTCTTGAACTATCCCAAATGCAGGCCTCCGTTTCGCCACGAAGGCTGGTTCCATATAAATAGACTGAGAAATAATTTTTTTTTAATTAATTTTATATTCAAACATTCTTTTGATACAATCTATGAAGACACTTTGCAACTGAACTAATGTCAATCTTGACTGGAATTTGCAAGATTACATGTGTTTTTTATTATTATTAAATTGCTTCAAGACTGGAAGGACTTTTTTATGGCAATAGGAAAGTTAACAAAAATCTATTCAAATACTCAACGAAAAAAAAAATACTTATAATTGTAAACTTTTGAAATTCAGATCCCCTTTTGACCCTTTTGATATATCAGTGACATCAAATATATCAAAATATTAATTGAATCATTATGACATGAGCCAATAATTAAAAAAATACATGATCAATAGTATTACATTGCATTATTTTTATCATTTTAATAGTTATATATGGTTACTTCAAAATTAAGTAATTAAATTATCTTTTCATTACGTATAATAACTTTTTATTATATTTCAGTAAAAACGTTCTCATTCACTCAGCCGTTTGTTCCATGATTAAATTATGTGGTTTTGCAAAGAGATTGATTAGAAAGTTCTCGTTTCCCATACTTTGTGTTTCTCTGTGTTGTATAAATGTTGTTTTGGCCTGCTGCGGATGTATCAAAATGAAACATTCCCAACTCGAACGAATCAAATGCAATTTTACGGGAGAGTTTAACGACCGCACCACGACACACTTTGCCAAGTGGTTATTTCTTCTCTCGAGTGCACGCAGCCGATTTTTCTGCGCTGTCAATCTGTTTCACTCTCTCTGCTGCATTCACGCCTCCCGTGATTACCTTTGCCCTCTTCGGCACCGCGCGCGTATTTTCGTGCCGCGCGGTTTCTCCAAATCGGGTCTTTGGCATGTTCAAAAAGATGCACGTAAAATAATTTAGATAAAAATACGAGGAAATTTTGATTTGTCTCATCAACCAATATTATTTACTTACTAGAACCGTTTATTCAATTCCATTTTCAATTTTATATAATTTTTTTCTTATAATCCATTCACTTCTTTAAATTTTAACTATAATGTAGGCTGAGATCTGGGAATTTGGATCTCATAATGTGATCAAATACATAATAACTTTACTTTCAATGATCAGCTGGAGGCATTTTTATACTGCTTGTGGCCACATTAAATGAATTATTACTGCAGTCATTGATTAAATTTAAACTTTTTATAAAGAGATTCGTTTTTTTAATTTTTAGGTTACACTTTTAACATATTTGAAATTATAACCATTTAAACCAAATATAAAAATAAATATAACTACTTTAAAAATATATTGTCAAAATTAATTGTATCAAGATTATTTTTTTATATGTTTGGTTGTAAAATATTGTATTAAACATTAATTTTTTATTTTTTTTTTTACAAAATATTTATAAGGCAAACATAATTCTATGATCATTTTTATGATAGGTTGTGTTAATGATGCAAGAGCCGAGATGTTTTTAATTTCGACAGTCTTGTTGGCCAATCGATCGAAGCACGTCGCACACTTTGATTATATAGTGGGAGTAATGACACGCAAGGCTGCATCCAAATAGGATGAAAGTGTGATTTTTTTTTTTAATATCAAATTTCATCACAGCCAACAGGTGAAATCTTAATAGGGCAAACCTTTGCAGCACTCAACTCTAATTTTCTCTTTCTTTTTTACATATACTTAGTGGACTAAGAAAATCGTCATTTCGTTTTACATGTAGGGAATAAAAAGCAGGATTTCGAGAGGTGTTGAATTTTAATAACCGGCTGGAGCGAAATGAAAGGGCTGCGCAAATGACAGAGCGAATTATATCATTACGTAATTTCGAGACTTGGTGACAAAAGCCAACGCCTATAACACACGAGAGAATCCACTTTTCACGCTGATAAGATTACATTAATTGCTCTTTCTCACTTCAAGTCAACACGGCTTTCCATCCCACCCGTCTCTTGTGTTTTAATTCAAGTCTTAATTTTCATATTTGAGTAATTTTATAGCTTTTTTTTACAAAAGGATTAAGAAGCGTGCAGTGTCTCTTTTTGAAGAACTTGAAGAAAGATGATAACCACAGTAAGCAGCTGTGTATGTTTTTGTCACAATGCACGTCGGCGTTTTTTTCCTTTCCTGCTTTTCAGCGAGTTTGTGATGAAATTTCCATGTGGGTTTGTCAAGGCAGCAGCAGCAGCATTATTTTATGTAAGGAAAGTGAGCGTGGGTGAACGGCAGTTTATTTTTACTGCGCTTCAATGTGCTCGAAAAATTGTTTTACAAAGAGTTGACATTAATTATCAGCAGCAGTCAAGACATCGCTTAAGCTTGTTTTACGACGCTTGGGAATGAGAAGTCTAGTGAGGCCTATTATTTTAATTGAATGTGTGTACTTTGGCTTCCAAACTGTAGGAGTTGAGCAAGTAGGAGGATAAACAATGTCAATCGTTCAGTCTATGTTTCAAAACTATCATTAAACTGGTAAAAGGACCATGCAATAAATTTTTTTTTAATTTTTCTAGAAACTTGAAACAATTACCAAAGAGTCTTTTCACTAGAGTAATTA